GCCTCAGTGCTGTTTTGGCAGAACGCGGAGCAACAGCATATTATTAGGCAGGTGGTCATAATGTTTTGGCTCATTAGTGTGTGTGTGTGTGTGTGTGTGTGTGTGTGTGTGTGTGTGTGTGTGTATGTGTAAACATGGAGCTAAAGAGGCAAGATTAAGATGTGCTGCATTAATTCCTTATGTAATGCTCTTCAGCATCACGTTTTGAAGGTGTTTTTAAAGTAAAAACACAATGAGGGGGTGTTACGAATACAGCAAAGCATAGGCTATTACTCCTCACAGAGTCTGTGATCACTGAGGTGGATAGGAATGCTAAACCTAAACCTTGTGATAGTTGTCATGATACAGATTAGCACGGGTGAGATGCTGAAACACTGAACACTTCCCGTCCAAAACCTTGAGGCATGCTGCGTCAACCTCAATACTTCTATATTTTGCAAACGATCATATGATTTCAGGGGTCAAGGAATGAAACATTATGGGCCTGTGGTCTGTTAACTGGTGGTGCTTGAGGTTTTCAGGAATGTGAACATTAAAACGCAAATGAGTCATCCTACCATGAAAGATTGTAGATGACTTTTGATCTCCCTGCTCTTGTTGAAGTAAAATTAACAGGGTCGCTGTGTCCATTTCTTTTACTGTCTATGGTGAAAACCCTCTATTGCTGCTGAAAATTGACTACTTGTACAACTTCTTCTTATTATTCTTGTGATGTTTAATGGCGGATTGGCAGACCAACATAAATGGTGCATTCCCGCCACTTACTGATCTGGAGTGTGGAGTATACTTTGGAGGGAAAGAAAAAAAATTAAATTCTATATTTATTGTTCCTGTTTTATTTAAATATTAATTCGTGAATTATTGATTGTCTTGACCCTAAAGATCTTAAACTTAAAGATCTTACTGCAATACGCCTTATTCACGGCAGCGCCATCTTTGGTTTTTAATGAGAATGAAAGCGAGGCTGTGAGGGATAGTCATGCATCTCTCAATGGGCTGTACTGTTATTTAATGTGTTTTCGGATTGTTCTGCTTATGAAACACTGGAAAAATATCTTTCCAAGAAATTTCAGTTGACAAACAACTCTCTACAATGTAAGCTGTGGAAAATTGTAAGTAATCTAGAGCTTTATTCAGCTTTTTACAGCGGATGCCACTGGATGCCAGTGGATGTCTACTCATATTCTATATTTGAGCTTACATTTTTTTTTAAATGAATTTGACTAATAAAAAGTGTGCATTTGTGCTTTATTCCTGTCTTTTTAAAATAGTTGAATGAATGAATAAATGAATGATCGCGAGGTGCGATTGTAGATCAGAACGCCCGCAGCATTGAGGAATGAGTCAACTTCTCTGATAATTAATTATTTAATAAAACGATTGACATTGTAATGACACTGAATGATTACATTTAATCCAAATAAATGTTCGTGTTTCGTACTGATGTTATTCATCTGTTCTCATCAACGTAGACGAACTGACACCCTGTGGTAAAATAATGGCGTTTTTTTTACTGCCGCCGCTTTCTCGGATTGGCTTGGTTTGGATTTAAACTTCATTTTCCGATGAGTTTTGAAAATTCTGCACACACAGTAAACATCAGAATATCCCTTCTTCTGTCAATAATGTTTCCAAAATATAAAACATGCAGACACTCATTTTAGGTGGTGTTTGTTCAACTCATTGACGATTGACCGCAGTATACATTGAAAGTAAACATAACCAGAAGTAAGTGGTATTGTTTCCAAACGGAAGTGCGCCGCGAAGCTCAGTGCAAGTAGTCCATTCAGCTTTAAAGGGTTAGTTCACCCAAAAATGAAAATTCTCGGCCCAGAAAAGTTATGATAGAATGACATTGTTAATAGTCCAAGTGACAACAGTGGCTCAACCTTAAGTTTATCAAGCGACGAGAATATTTTTTGAGCACAAAAACAGTCTCGATGTAGTGTTTAAATGTTTCTAAAGTGTGGATTTACCAATAAGTAAGTGCCTTAGCAATGCAGGAAAATGAATGGCTTACCTTTCACACTTTTCCATCAAATGACCGTGAGCATCAGCTTCTCAGTTCTTGAGCATGTGTCGTAGCGCTCTGGTGAACAGACGGCTACACAGAAAAAAATCAATAGGCCTAGTTGAATAAAGTTGTTATTTTTGTTTGTTTTGCGCACAAAAAGTATTTGATAAACTTATAAGGTTTAGGTTAAGGTTTGGAACAACATGAGAGTGAGTGGCCTACTGACAGAATTTTCAGTTTTGGGCGAACTAACAATTCGAATCACAGAAATAAATTACATTTTAAAATATATTAACATAGAAAACAGTTATTTAAATATTTTAATAATTTATAATTATTTATAATATTTCACAATTGTACTATTTTATTGTATTTTGAACAGATAAATGCAGCTTTGGTGAGCATGAGACTTTTTCCAAAAACATTAAAAATATTTTTGATTGGTAGCTTAATTATTTCAGTTTTGTTGCAAACAAGTGAGTCTATACTACATTTATTTAAACTAATTCAGTCAAATTCCTCCTACTGACATTTTAAATCAAACTCCACTTAATGATTTGAAAGGGAGTCAGTCAGATCTAAATTTTGTCCAACTAATGAGCTATTGACATTTTTTTAGCCTCTTTTTGTTTTCTCCATTTTAATCGAACAGTCCGAATAGAATGAAGTTTAAATAAGGACAATGTGCTTGTTTCCCCACTACCATCTCCTTTTTAACCTATCTGGACCAAACAACAGTTTGCTTCACTCCCCTCAGGGTTCTGTCCACTGCTTACAAAAATAACTCACACTATGGAGCTAATGACATTACCACATTAGTTCTGCCTGTCTACTACAATAGAGTTACCCAAGAATAATGTTTAATCACAATGGATAAAAACTGAGCTCAAAGGATAAATCAAAAGTGACCTGATTTGTACCTGATTGAGACATTTTTCATCATAAGCTTTTCATTCCACAATAGACAGGAATCTGACCTGTGCATGCCCTTTTAAAATTATGTCACTCTTTGCTTCACCCTCTATGCCTGCACCGCACACTCCTGTTCCCTCCTGCACATTCAATGAAATCTGTCCATTGATTGTGTGTTCATTGTTTCCTGCTCTGCAGGGGGGAGGCCTGGGGAGAGGAGTGGATCTCAGGTCTCCTAAACTCTCACTGCTGTGAACCTCAGCTGTATATTAGATAAAAGCTTTATTGATTCTTGGGGCTACAGAGATTTTCCATGTGTTTGTCTAATTTATGTGCACTTTCAGAATGTCCAGTTATTGGGATACATTTTTGTTTTTACTCTATATTAGAATGTATATTAGAATGTATTTTAGAATGCATTTTAAAATGAAAGGTAATGACTAATGAGACAAGATAACTAACTTAAGACTTGAGTCAATTCATGTACCTCACAATTGCAGTACACTTCAATGTCCACTCTGTGGCAGTCTGTGTATTCCTGTTAGCTTTGCTCACAGCAAGAAGGAAGAACATGGATTTTCATATATTTCAATTTATAGGTTGACAAATACATCTTAAAATGATGTGCAACTGTTATCATATGTCAAAAAGCATTGTAGCTTTAAACGTTTTCTTCACTTTACTCACAAAGTGCTAGCAGCTGTCACTGACAAAACAACTTTTGGTTCATGCATCTGGCTAATGCATTGCATATTCATTATATTCTTTGTTGCAGAGTCCAAATCTAAAGCCACCTGTCTGGTGGGTTATTTTGAGTCATTACAAACCTTGATTATGAATAAATTTGTTAGTTTTGTTTGTTTGTGTTTTCACAGAGGAAAACGAGAACAGGGTGCAGGCAGAAGAGAAGTGGCCATTTGAGCACAGTGAAAATGTGCCCTTCTGCAACTCTGTGTCCAAGCACAAACAAGCTGAAGAAGATGAAATCGTCATTGTCCCACATGTCTCTCCTGACCATAACCTCACTGTGAGTATTAGTTTTATTTTGGAGAGATAAGAATATCCTGGAAGTTTCAGAACTGAAAACATCCTTGTTAGTCCAATAAAAGCTTTTATTGACACCAGCCCCAGCAAACGACTCGTTTTTCAAAGTGGGGAACAAAGTGGGGAAACATAGATCCCACGTTTTTCAAAGTGGGGTGTTTTTAACTCAAAGAGGATAAAACACCACCCCGCAGAAGAAGATCAACGCCTACCTCCTCAAACATGAACGGTTTAGCCCCGCCCACCGATTCGTACATTACACGCATAGCTAAATAAGATAGGTCTACCTCGTGATGACAAACCGAATCGAGGTACTGAGCGAGCAATACAAAATATGGTATGCAAAAGAATGGTGCAACACACGGACTCTGGGTCGAACATGTATGGGCGAATCATTCCGGTTGCCATTTTACAACATTGGACGGTTTCAAAACAATTTCCCCCAAGTGCATCGACAGGTGAGTTGAAACTCATTATAATACAGTATGCAAAACTGTTATCCACTCACAACAGTGGGCGTTTACTTCCAAGTCTTCAGTGCGAGACGCCCATAAAAACAGAGCGTTTTTCAGCTAGACTCAAAACTAGCGTACAAAATAGCCTATTACTTATTCATTTTGATGTTTTTGAATGCAAAAACCATGCGAACGTCATAAGTTGACCTCAGACAGCAATATAATAAAATTTAAAAAGCCAGTTCATTACCCCTTTAAGAAAAAATATATTTTCCTGTGATGTAAAACAGCATATTTATTATTATTATTAGGTCTATTACTTATTAAAATGTGCTAAAGAATCTCTATTTACATTGTTTCTTCCTTGTGTCAGGAGGCCTAGTCTCTACAAACAAAACCACAGGTGACAAAACAAGGATGTAGGTGGGGTTAACAGGTTAATCATGGTGATTATTGTGATGTTATCCAGTGTGAAGTGGACAGAAGGAGATATCCAGCTTTACAGAAGGAGGATAGACTGTCTTGTCTGGACAGTGACTCTTACTGGAGTTTTGTGTGCTCTTCTGGGTGTGGTACTGAGATGCTAACTTCTTCCTCATGGATGACTGAGAGCGGGACCAGAAATCCTGTCATGTGGCAGAAAATGAATGGGTGGAGCACTCTTTGCTTATATGCGTCTTTGCCATATGCGCTTTTGTTGCGAATTGTGGATTAAGAGCAAGTACAAAATCTTACCCGGAAAAGAAAGAAGAGGCTAAATAAAAGTAAAGGCTGGATAAAAGGAGCAAGCTGCATGCTGGCACTATTTTGGAACATCATTACGGAATGTTTTTTTCCATTTCTTCAGCTGTCCTGCCTGAAAACAACATCTCTGGTCTTTAATGCTCATTTTCCTGGCATCCATGATTTTGGAAACTTCATGTAAGGACAACATGTTACGAAAAATAAAGACACATCAGACTTTAACCAAACTCAAATTATTTTAGTAAAACAGTTTTTTATACCAGTAAAAAACTAATAAATGGAACTCATATTCATAATTTGTCAATGGTTGTTCAGCACAAGGGCTTGACATTCAGGGATGGGTGAATGGACTTGGGAAGGCTATTGGAAAGAACCTGGAATTTTTTACTGCGAACAAAGACATATCAGTTTTACTTATATATTTTTTGAATTTTGACTTTGTTTTTGTTTTTTATCACTTGTGGAATATTCTTGTTTGAATACAGACTAAATTTGTGAACCATACTGGAACGAGGGAATGGAGAGTAAGCCCATCAATACATTTTCTGACAAATTAACAAACCTTTTTAATCACCATGAAAAACATGAACTTCAAACACTGACTGAGGAGTCGGACAGTCCAGATTTGACTTCTTTTTGCTTGTTGACTAAGGAAAGAGAGGTTAATGGTCAACAAAAATTTGTTCAAAGGCAGGGTGGTTTTGATGATCAAGGGGAGGATTTTGCTATAATTGTTAAGGTTTTACCTCCAAACGCTGAGGAAGACAGGACAAAGGACCATGTCAACAGACCGGAGTATCAGAATGTTAATGAAATCGATTTTTCTTCAGAAAAGGAGGAAGTGGACTTAGACCTCAATGTTATGCACCAGAGAGATAATTACAGTAAAACATCAGTTGTGCGCCAGACTGTCCAGGATGTAACAGATGGTCAAGCTGACACACCATCTAAATCACTTAGCAAAGTCTCAGCCAGTGGCAGTGCTAACAGACTGGACAAACAACTTGAGGATCCAGTAATCGGTACAGTGGATAATAAAGATCCTGTTTTCAGAGAAGGACACAGACTCAATCAGGACATATCTGCAAATGAGACAGTTGTTGTGGAATCAGATAACTCCAGCAATGAGGAGCTGTTTGCTGAGGAAGAACCATTAAAAGTGAGAGTCCATACAGACATTCAAAGCAGAAATGATTTTTTAATAAAAGAGCCTTTCAATTCATCCGCAAATAACGGAATTTCAGTGCAAAGTCACCGGGAAGTATCTGCTCCTGAGAGCAAAATAGAGTCTGGTGGAAATCTTCAAAACACTGCAGATGTTCCAGATGAGGTAACCAAATCTGGTGTAAATGAACAAACTTTGACTAACCGCAAGGCATCTGCAAACATGGACGTTCAGAACACATTAGCGCACTGTGAAGTTCATGATCTCACTAAAAAGGTTCTTTCATCAAACTCACCTGTGAACACCAGAACTGTGGTCATCACCCTTACACGTGTTGAAGCTCTTTCTGCTGAACCGTGTGTTGATACTAAAGAGATCCAACTGAGAGATGAGACTGCAGGTAGCCAAGCTATTTGCAATGAAAGCAGCGCAAGTTCAGACAGCATTTTTGTGCACGTCCATCCACCTACCACAAGCCAGGAGAACCAAATTAGATATTCTGAGGCTGGAGGTGTGATTTTAACAGGTTCTGACCTCTGTGACACTGAAGAACACAGTTCCAGTTCGTCTGAGCTAGTTAATAAGACTAATTCAGAAACAGAACCGGTGCTTTCAGTCATCCAGGTGGAGACAAAAATGCATGCAGAGGGAGATATTAATAAAGAGAGTGTGAAAGAAGACACCATGTTAGATACAGATTCATCGTCCACTGAGAAAACCACAAAAGACCAAAGCATACTCTCCCCCACAGTAGTAAAAGAGAAACCGCTCCAACTGTCGTCCCTCTTCACTGGGCTGCTCAGCCCCAAGAAAGAAGCACTTGAGGAAAATGAAACTACAGAGCAGCCCCAAAGCCCTACCAAACGAGGACTTTTTACCGATCAGTCTAAGAAAGAAGTCAAGGGAGACTTCCTGGAACAGCTTACTCAATTCCTCAGCAAGGGGGAAGGGAAGAGAAAGCAAGAGAGCAAGTCAAGCCCCCCACTGTCTCCAATCGGTCAGGACCCTGCTGAAAAGCCAGAGACTACTGTAGAGGAGCCGGTCATTCCCCAGTCTGAGGAAACCAACAAATCTACAAATGCAGAGACGGCCTTAGGTGCATTGAAGGCTTTTTTCACGGTTAAATCTGCCAAAAAAGACACTTCAAATCGCATGGACCGGGACATTGTAAAGAAGAAGATCAACAGGGACAAAGACGTCCTCAGAGCTTTCTTTGACAGGAACTCAAGCAAGTCTCCAGACAACAAAGAAACTAAAGTATGCAGTGAACAGATGATTGCATTTGTTGGTGATTTCAGTATCAATGTATAAAGTTTAAATAAAAAGTCTTCTTTGATGTGCAGCTAAAAAAAAGTGGGGATGCTGCATCCTTATTTAATTTAATATTTTAATTAACAGTACAATGCACATTAATTGTTGCTGTTTGGTGTCTTAGGCTGATGTGAGTGAGGAGCACACCCCAAAGCGACTTCAGACTATCTGGCCACCACCAAAACTGAAAAATGACGAGGAGAAGATTGGTCTCAAATACACGGAAGCTGGTAAGGGCTTATTGTATAATTGAAGAAGAAAACAAGCAGTAAGTGTAAATGTTTGCTCTAATTCAAATATTTGCTTTTGTATAAAATGTAACAACACTGTCCAAATATATTCCACTACACCTCCACCCTAAATGTGTTTCTAAAGCGCAACTCTGCAGATTATTTACTTTGGATACAGTGTCACATTGTTTGTTACTTGTAAGAAAATTCGTTTTCTCAGCAATGCAGTCATTAAGATTTTTGCATTGATCAACCTTATTGACTATCCATAACATTGCCCGTATTGCAGTATCTTGTAGATTTAAAGGGTGTGGAGTCCTCAAACACACCTAAGCTCACATGCTCTAAGTGTGTGTTGTTGTCATATGCTTAAATATACTTGAGGAAATTATTTTTTCCCATGGTTCTCTAGACAAAGGCAGTGATCATCCCTATATAGCAGTTCTACCACTGCCATCTATTGGAAAGTTTATATCTACGATATTTACTGGATATCCAATTCTTCGTTTATTCAGTTTGGTGTCAGAAAGAAAAAAGGACAAAAAAATAATACTTTTATTCAGTTAAGGATGGATGAAATTGATCAAAATTGATGATAGTAAGACATTTTTTTAATATTACATTTTTATATCAAATAAATGCTTTTTTTATTTCTATTAATCAAATAATTCTGAAAAAAATGTTTCACCATAAGAATATTACGCAGCACAACTGTTTTCAACATTGATAATAGAAATGTTTCTTAATCAATCAACATCTTAGAATGATGTCTTAAGAACCATGTGACACTGAAGACTGGAGTAATGATGCTGAAAATTCAGCTTTGCCATCACAGGAATATACATTATAAAATATATTAAAATTGAAAACAGTTTAAAATTGTAATAATATTAATGTTTCTCAAATGTTTGAACAGTAGTACATTTGTATATATTAGTTAGAGAACTATTTTATTGGGTTTCTGCCACAATTCAATGCGTTTTGTGATATATTTAGCCATAATGATGGGGGTTTTTTTCTGTTCTCAGAGCATCAGGCTGCTCTTCTGCAACTAAAAAGAGAATGTAATGAAGAAGTGGAGAAGTTACAGGTGGGAAACTCAAGAACAGTATTTTACAACTGAAGGGATACAGTTTACTAATAGCATCACAAATTTAAAACCTTTCCCAGGAAAGGCGTGTTTCCACAATCAGTGCTTTTACAAATGTATTGTACTATGCTGCTTATTGAATATAGTCACACTTAAGCCACACTTCTTCTATAGACCTATCAAGCCAAATTACATTCAATTTAAAGAAAGCAAGCAAAATCTTTCACAAAAAAGGTTTTAAGATTTTAAGATTGTGTCGTCTGCTAGGACGCTACTGAATATGTTTACATTTACTTTACATTATATTTATCCATGCAGCAGACACTTTTATCAAACGTTATACATTTTTTAATTTACATTTTGTTGTTTGAACTCTTTAATACAGGCCGACTTCAAACTTGAGCTCTTCCGGTTAAAAGAGAAGAACGAAAAGGATCTGTCCAGACAAGCGGTAACCATTGCAAGCTTACAAAGAGAGAAAGACAAAAATCTTCACAGAAATCACAGAGATGTTGCTGTGTCCACTGACGACAACATCAAAACACGGACTTTCCACTCTGTGTGCATTCAGACCGACAGAGAGACATTCATCAGGTCTGAGGAGGCCAAGGAAGCGAGTCTTGACCCCCTTCCTAAAAATGCTGACCTCAACTCAACAAAAAACTTTACTGAAAGACAAAAGACAGTTCTTCCACCAGCTGCCCCACCTGTATCACCTCAGTTACAGATGAATAGAAACAAGATTCCCCCTCCCCCTCCCCCTCCCCCTCCACCTGGCCCTTGCATTCCTAATATATCTACACTTCCTGCTCCGCCACTGGATACACCAAGTATGCCTCCTCCACCTGGCCCTTACAATCCTAATGTACCTCCACTTCCTGCTCCGCCACTGGATAAGCTAGGAAGTGTGCCTCCTCCTCCTCCTCCACCTGGTCCTTGTACTTCTATTGTACCTCCACTTCCTGCTCCGCCCCTGGATAAGCCAGGAAGTGTGCCTCCTCCTCCTCCTCCTCCTCCTCCTCCTCCACCTGGTCCTTGTACTTCTATTGTACCTCCACTTCCTGCTCCGCCACTGGATAAGCCAGGAAGTGTGCCTCCTCCTCCTCCTCCACCTCCACCTGGTCCTTGTACTCCTAATGTGCCTCCACTTCCTGCTCCTCCACTGGATAAGCCAGGAAGTGTGCTTCCTCCTCCTCCACCTCCTCCTCCACCTCCACCAATGACAGGATGTGGTCTTCCACCGCCACCACCCGTTCTCCACTCGATCTCCAATCCCCCTCATGGAGTTGGTATCTTCCTCAGTACAGCAGCAGACAATCCTCCTCGCAAACGTTTAGTGGAGCCAATCTGTCCAATGAAATCGCTCTACTGGACACGAATACAGATTCAAGATAACAGGTATCTCTCATCACCTTACCTCTTGTTTTTAATTTACATGGGGCAATGACATGATGCTCATTTTTTAATTGTATCATTTTTTACTTTTGTTTAGTGCTTTTGCCTTTTTTATTCGATTTTTTAGACAAAAATAACAACAATGAACACAATTCACTTTTACAAATAGATAAAAAGTACTTTAAACTAAAAATAAACATCATCCCACTCTACCTGTATTCAACCATAAAGACCTATAAAACCTCAATCAAAAGTTTCCTCAAACACGCAACGTATGTCCACTAGTGACGCTGACATTTTCAACTCTCCCTCGTCAGACCTCATGGGAAGTTTAAGACAGACCACTGCAGACATTTGTCTGCATGAGGGGCCAGCCACAGGCTGAGCTGCAGTCTTTCCAGGACCTCTAGTGGCGGTGTGGATTTCTGTGGGATTCGGCTCCCCGGCCACCTCTGTGCTTTTGCAATGTTATTTGACTCCTCATGAAAGCTTTCTGCTCTCTTCGTGAGCATTTTGTCAAGCCAAAGTCAAGCTTAGCTGTGCGCCGTCGTCCTGGCTAGTTAATTATTTTTATGGGAGAGAAAATTTTGCATGTCAGATTACTCACATGCTGCTCCTGTTGATTTTCCTTCTCCTGCTCTCAGCCAAGGTTGCTCAGCAACAATAAATAGCTCACTTTACTCGTGTAACGTGGTTTTTACAGTTGCTGGTATTAGGAAATGCTTTGGTTGGTGGCCTGTATGTCTTTGAAGTGTGAAGATTCAATCACAATGAGCCTTAGACTGAGCAGAAACTCATCATCTCTTTCTTTTCTTAGGAGCAATATGCTGTGGAGTTCCCTGGAAGAGCCACAGATAATAAACACCAATGATTTTGCGGAACTGTTTGCTAAAGCCACATCGCCCACCAAAAGAAAGCCCCTATCCGAAGCCTATGAGAAGAAAACCAAAGCCAGGAAGGTACCGCTCTGCCCTGAAGATAAGAAAAAATGATATAACATAGAGAGGCTCATATTTTGAATGGCAATTTTAAATCTATATAGCAAATGCAGTTTTTATAGCAAATGTGAGATTGTGGGTTTGATTCAGCTAATTAGAAAAACAAAATCTGTAAATTGCTGTGGATAAAAGCGTCTGCTAAAATGCATTAATATTATGCACTGCTAGGCAAGTTCAGAAAGTTCAGATTTGAGACGTGTCCACTAGGTGGAGCAGTTGTCAGTTCTTCCGAAATATATATTTAACTGGAACTGATGCATTCATCCATTCACCTCTGCTAATTTCTTTTCTTAAACATCTTTTGTCAGGTGCAGTCACTTTAAACTTTAAAATCCATTAATTTGATACAAATGCTTGTGAGTAATATCAGGATCCCACAAATGCCCCTAAAATTGCCTTTGAAATTGATATAATTATATAGGAAATGAGAATAATTTGAAATAAATGAGCCTGTGCCTGAAATGTGATCATGCCATTGTTACCTTAGGGAGGTGGGTTTTATAATGGAGGTTTGGAATTTCCCAAATGATCTTTTATTTATTTGTTCCACTTTTGCGTAATACAAGCATGAGTCCTCAAGACATTCATGGTATTGTAAGCAAAAGGCACGTATATCATGATCAGAGTCATTTACAAGTTTTTGATTGATGGATTTTTGACTTTTTTTGATTGATGAACTTTTTTAGGTTATTAAATTACTGGATGGCAAGCGCTCTCAGGCTGTGGGCATCTTAATCTCAAGTCTCCACCTGGAGATGAAGGACATCCAGCAAGGTAAATCACACTGAACAGACTCATATATGCCGAGAAATACTCAACCACCAGCTCGTTTTTTTTTATTCTGTCCAGACTAATTTTGCCTCCACTAATAATAAACAGACATGTTAAAATGATACATATTTGTGTGGCCTGGTTAGAAAAGGCAACCTAAGACTTGATGTTGAAATAATTCTGTATATAATGACATATCTTGCAACAATGTGATTGGCTCCAGCTCTTATCAAGGATAAATTGGCTGTATGTTTGTTAAATAAACTATCAGTCCCACTTACCAAACATACACTTTTCACATTGGCCATCCTGAATTCATCACAGCTGGCCTTAACAAAGTCAGACAGGCAGATTTTTTTGGATGATTTTAGTAAATTCAAAGTATATGTTTGGTAAGTGGGGCTGGTGGGGGTTTGGTTACAGGGGGAAAAAACTCTCAAATACATATTTAGACTTGTACATTCACATATCACATCCATGGCACGTATGTCCATTAACTAATCAGTCTTCTTGTCTAGAGACTGATACTTTTTCATTTCTCAGCTGTTTTGAATCTGGACAATTCTGTGGTTGACTTGGATGCTATCGAAGCCCTGTATGAAAATGTAAGTATCCTGCCACATTGGAAACGTACTTATGTACAGGCCCACACTAAATCATAGCCTCCAAAGCAGTACATCTACACAAGTCCTACACATTCGCACCCCTTGCATGTTTTCTGCTTTTCAATTAGTAAAAATTGAGGTTGAGTAAGAAATATGGATTCTATAATTGTTTATAAAGCACTTATGTTAATTATTCTTTTAAACTATTGTGTTATGTGAGCTTTAAAACTATTTAAATCATAGTTTGTAGTCACTTTAGGGATTATGGTATTTGTCATGGTGACAGTTGTGAAACTGGATGTAACTTTACACAGAAACGGGTAATAAAAATGTTTTTCCCACACTAAAATCATGGTAACACTCATTTTGTTTACATTTTGTGGCTATACTATAATAATGAATACTGAATATACTGAAAAATATTTCATATTTATGGATTGACCACCCCATTAGCTTATATTGTAAGTGTTTCACTGCAACTCAGAGATAAGTGGAAATTAATTTTGTTGTAATCAAGGAATAGGGATAATAGGGATAGCAATAAGATTTATTTTACTGTATTTATCACTGTAAATCACTTCAGAAAATGCACACAAAATCTTCAGATTCTGTATCACGCTTCTTGTCTCTCTAGTTCCATTTCCAACATACCTAAATAATAGATAGTTCCAGAGTGGTTTCATAAGTTTATGTGTGTATCATTGGTCAGTTTTCATTTGAATGCGTCTGTTCTGTTTCTCCCAGAGAGCTCAGCCTGAGGAGTTAGAGAAGATTAAGAAACACTATGAAACCTCAGACGAGGAGCAGGTCAAACTACTGGACAAGCCTGAACAGTGAGATATTCCAGAAACACACCAGATAACTCATGTTTTTATGCAACTAGTGATACATCAATTGTCATTCACAAGGGCACTTTCTGTATGCTCTTTGCAATGTATACTTCTCTAAAGTTCCTTCATTTGAAAACAAACAAAGAAAAAGTAGTGTTTTCAACACTACGCACTTTAGTTTGACAGATGTTCATTGCTTTTCCTTGACAGATTCCTGTATGAACTCTCCCAGGTCCCTGAGTTCTCCAGTCGAGTTCACTGTTTAATTTTTCAGTCGAAGTTCACCGACGCCGTTGCCTCCATGCAGCGCAAGACCGAGATTATTCTACACGTCTGCAAGGTACAAAGGCATTTTCAAAAAAGGTCAGACCTCAGATATTATCAAACCTTTGATTTGATTTGATCAGACGCTGGCATTCTTAAGAGCAAAAAACAGCCCTTCAGGCAGCTGCGGTTTATTTAGGAGAGGTCTAAGTGCTTGCTTTGTCTCCAACATCTCCATGTGATAAATGCACAAATAAATGTTGATGTGTCTTTTGTGTTTTAGTGTCTTTTGGAGAAAGTTAGTGTGAGGGAGGTGATGGGACTGGTGCTTGCTCTGGGAAACTACATGAATGGAGGGAGCAGAGCTAGGGGACAGGCCGATGGCTTTGGGCTTGAGATTCTTCCCAAGCTTAAGGATGTCAAGAGCAGGGTAAAAGTTTTCTACATTTGTCTATGTTTAGCACTGTGAAAACACTATAACCTCACACACTGAGGTGTTTGACAGAGCACGATTTGTTCTTAAAACGATCTGAATGACATACGTTTTTGACATAATTCTCTATAAATCTACAGGAAAATCACATTAGTCTGTTGGACTACATTGTTTCCTACTATCTGCTTCACTATGATGAGGTAAAACATGAACATGTAACCTTTCACATGCAGTTTGTTTATTTTACACACTGCAGATCTTCAATCTGTTCAACATTGTTTTCAGTCACATGACTCATTTTTCATCCTATCTATTAATTTATGGAGTGATACACGACAAATGCAATTGATACAATGTCTTCAATAAACCTTTTTTATTATAAGCGTGTTTTTAATTTCTAAATTGAAATTCATTTTGATAGGTGGCTTTTATCGTTACAAAAGATTTCTATTTCAAATAAACACTGTTCTTTTGATCATTGTATTCATCAGAGAACCCTGAAAAAAAATGTATCACGGTTTCCCCAAGCTTATCAGATTGATTTCTGAAGGATCATGTGGCATTGAAGACTGGTTTGATGTCTACTGAAAAAAAAAATCAAGGAATAAATTACATTTTAAAATAAATTAAGTTAGAAAACAAATGTTTTAAATTGTAACAATATCAGTGTTTTTCACTGTATTTTTGATCAAATAAATGTTGGTGGGCACAAGAGACTTCTTTCAAAAACATTACAAAATCTTTCCAACCACAAATATTTCTAAGAACATGTGTTTTACTCTAGATCTTCAAGTCTTTCTTGGCCGTGGATACTCATATGTTTCACTCATCCTTCCTTCAATCTCTCTCCAGAACGCTGGGACAGAAAAGAGCATCTTTCCTTTGCCTGAACCTCAAGATGTTTTCCTTTCTTCTCAAGTGAAGTTCGATGACCTCTCAAAGGATCTCAGGAAGATGTACAGAGACTTGACAGGTAAGAATTACCAAAAACAATCTCAAGGTCTTCAGAAACGATTTTAGCGTGCCACTGATTTACTGCACCATCAAAAGTAGCAAGATTACATGGGTGGGATGAAAGTCTGCAATCCTGCAACGTGGCTCCAGCTGAATCCTGAGGACTTTACAGCATCTGTTTGCAACAACTCATTATTAAACCAGATTAGATCAGGTGGAATAGACAGACGAGTTTGCCTATGTATATGTGTGCACGCGTAGATGCGGAGGCGAAGTGAAGTCTGTGAGATTTTGCCATGGCGCCTTTTAGATATGACTTTAATCCTGCCCATCAGATGCTCTGGCATTGTGTGATTCTTTAGCTCCGTCGCAGGGGCCAAAGGCTACAGTGCTTTGGCGCTTATGTAATCTGAGAGAAGAGCAGCTTATCGCTGGCGGGATGGGCTTTATCTGCGCAGAGATGCACTGCCATTCTCCTGCTACACTGTATCAGTCCGTGTTCAGTGTGGCCCCGCAGATGTGTGTCACAGATTCTTTTCTTTACCTCTCAACAAGCCTTTCTTATCAGGCGACGGAGAGACTGCCAAATCGGGCCCATCGCGCTCTCCCTTTTTTGTCCTGCTGTTTGAACTCCCCTCATGACTGAGAGAGAATCGTGTCTTTGTTTTTTATGCTGTGTTTGTTCGATTTCTTCGAATTACTTACAGCCCCACTGAGGTTTTGGCTGCTCAAGGTGACCGCATTTGTCTGCGATGTAATTTCGCGGAGCAAAAAAGTGCTGCACTAATCAAATTAGTCACTGTGTGCCTACACCAAAAGGGAATGTCCCTGTGATTTTATTTTCCAGAGACAATGATGACAACATTGTGAAGCACATCTAATGCATGGAGACTCCACAGCTGATTCATCTGGCTTGCGTTTGAGACATCTTTTTGATCTCTTTGAGGTCATTGTGGCAGTGGTTTGGCTCGCCGAGGTCCACAGTTGAGAAAACCTGAATGTTGATGTGAGCCGCCTTGGTGGACACACTATATGAGGATCTTATCACTTTAATATTTTGCGTGGAAAAGATTCCCAACCGTTTCTTCATTTCCAGCTGTGTTCACAGTTTATACAAATTCTCAATGAAAACAGTAGTATGTGTTGCCTTATCCGGGCTGAGATGCAGATGGAGCGTATCCAACAGTCCTGGGTTCCCATCAGGGTGTATTATGACTGAGGCAGGAGACTGACTCCTCTGATCCCCTGATTGGACGTTGAACAAACAGTGCTGTGTCGGTCCACGGGTGATACAGTGACTATCTGAGGATGTGATCAGAGGTGCATCAAAACAGATTTTAGAGAAAAAGACATTTGATAACCTCTCAGTCACAGGTGGAGCTTTAGCTCTATGGTGTTTTCTTGACAATAGGTTATGAACAAGTGCAAACAAAAAGGGTTTAAAGAGATAGAAATATGATTTTATTTCTTCTGTGGAACAGAAAAGAAGATATTTTGAGAAATGCCATCATACAGTGAAATTTATTGGGGTCCAGTGCCAGTTTTGTACCCTATTGACTTTCATTGTTGGAGCAGTTGTATGTATATTTTACAGTTATTACAAAATCCAACATACATAGAAGGCTGACGCTCAGCTTGTTTATAGACTTTGGAAGTTCCCCCATGACTGTAACCATTGTTTTTACAGATGTGATCGACATAATTTACTGTACTGATCCCATAATTACAGCATTTGCTCCATCAGCAGAAAGTGCTTCCTTTTAATGTGCAAGTAATCAGTGATGCGCTAATGGCTTTGACCGCAGTCGCTGTTGTTTTAGATGACTTGATAAACCAACTTAAGCTGAAGTTGTGAATGATTGTTGGACTTCTGGTAAAAAAGCAGTTGGTGCCTACTCAGAATGTGAGCGGAGTGATCAACATGGCCACATACATTGTACTTAGTGTGTTATAATAAGTAAATATGTTTTATTAGTTCCACCAATGATATATTTTGAAATACTGTATATGTTTTTAAAGAAGTCTCTTGTGCCATCCAAATCTGCATTTATTTAACCAAAAATACAAACAGTAATATTGTGAGATATTATTTCAATTTAAAAATAATGTATTTTTTTCAGCATCATTGCTCCAGTCTTCAGTGTCACATGATCCTTCAGAAATCTAAAATGCTGATTTGCTGCTTAAGAAACATTTCTTACTATTATCAGTGTTGAAAACAGTTGTGCTATTGAGCATTTTTGGAGATGAATATTTTTCAGGATTATTTGGCGAATAGAAAGTTAAAAAGTTTGTAACATTATAAATGTCTTTACTGTGACCTTCAACTTAATGTATCCTTTCTTTCAAGTGTCATCAATAATACCCAAATCACTTATCTTTATCATCAACATTATCTAATTGTAAAATAACATACGGGTAAGCTTATTGATAATGTAATAAGAAACGCTTCAGTATATTTGCACTTTTGTAGTTGTGTGCTTCTTGGCTTTTTTTTCAAGATCTGGGTTATTGGAATAAAAAGTAAGCGCTCATGGTGGTCAAACAAAAAAAAACCTGTTTAGTTTAGGATAAAATATTGCATTAAAGTTAGTGTAAACTTTGTTTTACAATGACTGGCTTCTGAAAATTGGACCTGGTCAGGGATTTTACTCTAACCCAATGTTATTCCTTTTGTCTCATACAGTTTGTGAAAAGGATGCTCTAACCGTGTGTACCAACTCATCTCAAGAGCACATACATCCCTTCAAGGAGAAAATGGACTTGTTCATTGCCAACGGTGAGCTAAGCTATGATGTGTGAGATTAGCCCACATTACCTTTTAGAAGAGGATTTGAAGTCTTCTAATTATGTGCTCCGTCCCATCAGCCGATCCCACTTGTCTTCCTTGTTCAGATACAAAGTCTAGTTGGTCTCTGAGACGACCAGGCTCTCTAGAAGATTGATGGAGAGGAGTACAAATGTTTGCTTAGATTGTACAGGATTGTTTTGCAGATCGAGCCAGATATGTGGAGATATAAACTGGATGAGACAATGCTAGTCAACTAGACAAATAAGATTAAAGGCCCTATCGTACACCCGACTCAAGGCACGATGCAAGTGTTTTATGCTAGTTTCAGTCCGAAGCAGTTATTATTTTCACGTCCTGCGCCCCGTTGTTTAAATAGCAAATGCATTTGCATCTATTTGTGCGCCCTTGGGTGTGCTGGTTTGAAAACGAGGTGTGATTGGGACGTGCAGCAGCACACAAACGTGCTAAATATAAAACGGATATTTTTTTTCAAATTAAACTACCACTTGCTGTGGTATTCTGCCATACAATATACAGTATCCATGTTGCGTGCAAAACACACCCATTACTCATTAAGAGAATATGACAACCCTTTTAGACCACGCCAACCATTTTTTCCTGTCGTTAAACTAGTAAAAGTGGATTCGGACACGGCCTAAGTGCACTTGCGCCTTGCAGACCATGCGCTTAGATCGTTAAAATAGGGCCCTAATTCTGTTTGTAGTTTATGTATATAGCAGCACATTTAAAACATCCTCACATTCTTCCTACTACAATTATTTGATTGTCTCCACTACACAGATAAGACAGCACACATCCTGCAGTCATGAAGAATATCTGCCATATGCCCTTTTGGGGACCTGATAAGTGTCTGTGACTGCCTACCTGTACAAGATTGCTGGTCAGGTTCAGAAGACAGACGCAGAGATAGGAATCAGAGAGACTTTGGCTATGAAGGAGACTTTTTAGTAAAGGAGAAACATCAGTTTTAACATTGTCTTTGAGGCCCTGGTAGAAAGGCTAGGAATTTGAGACGATAACGTTATTGGTAGCATAACTGACAAAGCAGTGCAGGAACAAGTTCTGCAAGGTTCTCTTAAAGCTACACTGTGTAACTCTTTTAGTTTATTCTTAGCTAAAAACACTTAGTTCTTTCAAAAATATATGTGCTCATTAATGTATATTTACTTCGTTCAAGTAATAAAGTATTCTCGTGAATGTATAATTTGCCATTGAAAATACATACGGGTAAGGGGTTCTAATGTCGGTCGCCATGTTGCGCCTCCATCTTGAAAGTGCATTAGCCAAAGAGGGACATACCCGTTAATTCAAGCTTCGCCTTTCGCGTTTACGTTTGAGTTAACACTCATGGACGAGGTCGAACTGGAAGCCATGTTAATCTTGGACTACATTGGCCACCGTAGGAGTTAAAACAAAATCAGAATTGAGAGGAACAAAAACTAATATTCACTGGATGATCATATACCTTTTCACCGCTAGATGGGGGTAAAAATCACACAGTGTAGCTTTAAAATGTTAGCACAAAAACATTGTTTATAGCCTGGCTAACGCCAGACCCAATTCTCGTTGAGACTTGGGTCTGGGAACCACATGCACAATTTTGCGTATTTGAAGCGTGGTTTACGAATGCCCGGAGCCGTTTATTGGGTGCTCAGAATGTATATCAAATGCACAGAAAAACACAAGTATTAAGTCCAGTTTAAACTAGATGTTGAAGTTGTTATTTGCATTGGAAATTGTTTGAGCTTGTACTTCACAAGTTAAAAATTAATAAATATTTAATTTAATGACTAAAGTGTCAACTTTAATCGGATAACTTACGTGTGCACAGCTGAAAGTTATGCTACTAAAGCAGTAGCTGTATATTTATATTGAAAAGCAACACAACTTAGTGGCACTGTGACAACCACATTAGTCTACAGGCATAATGACAATATGATATTAATAAATACCACTTACCATTTATAAGTTAAATGGACTTCGTGGACGACGATGCCTAGCAGGTTGGTACTATACAACTCCGTGGCTAACATGTCTTGACACTTTGCACTCATCCAGGCCTCGGGACTGCCGAACAGAAGTTGGTATCGACAATTCTTTATCGCATTTTCTTTCTCGGGACACAGCTGAGCGGCAGATATTCCGAGGTTGACCGCCTCGAGTCCTCCACCTGGTCCTCCATTATGGCAATTATGGCTAGACAACAATAACGACTGGGGTCTCGCGAAGTTTAACGCCAAAAGCTGCTCTTTTTTCAAAATAAACTTGCATTCTAAACTACTTACAATATAAGGCTGCATCAAAAGGTAGCTTCGCGTCTGCTGCCATAGATATAAACAAACTGCTTCGGTGTGCGTCATCGTCTTCCCCATAGACTGTAAAAGGTCTTCCCTAAATGAGGCGAAAATCTGGCCATGGTATCCAGACTGCCTTTCAGCGTGAATAAAATCGCGCTACGGTAAGGCAGTATTTTTTATTTTTTTAGTTAACTGTCTCAATCTTCCTCTTAGTTCCTCATCTTTTTTTTTTTTTATTAAAGAAACATGTAAATCATACATTCAGGAGAACATAAAAGAGGTAAAGCAAAGACAAATTATACAGAATAATTCCAAATCAAGTGCCATAAAAATAATTATATTACATTACACAATTATAAAAATAAAAAATTATAATACAAATAAAATAAGCAATGTATCGGTAAGGCAGTATGGAGAAACCCAGACTATTATGTTTACATCATTCATGGAATTTTTTTTTTTTCCTGAAACATTTTAGTTGGACGTTTTTCTAACATTTTTTAATTGCCTGTTTAAGAACATTCAAAAGTAATGTTCATATAATGTTTGCAAAATTCTAAAATCAAATGTGTCCTTATGTTCGCATGGCAAAAAAACAAAACCAAAAGCAATTTACATTAAAAACACTGGGCATTTTGATAGTTCAGAGAAACATTCAGAAATAATGCTTTCATAACTGAATGGGAACGTCAACATTCTTAGAACATAATTTTGTTTGCTGGGATATGGCTAAAGAGGTAAAATTAAGACCCTGAACTAATAGAAGAGATATTGGCTCTCAATATTGAAACCATTTGCAGGAGTCTTTATGAAAATGAAAAATGTGGTACTGATTATGATACAATAAATGCAAATGTTGATACACATCTTTTTAATTTACAGCACAAAAAGAGCTAACTGCTGTGGAACACCAAGTGATATCAGCACGTAAAAGGTACAGGCACATCACTCTTGTTGAAAATATTACAATAAAACTTAAATATTTTTAACATTTAGTTACATGAATTTACAATTATGGCCATCCTAAAAAGCCTGGTTGTTTTCTGGTGCATCATGTCTTCTCTTCCTCAGCTTCTCTTACCTAGTGGAGTATTTTGGGCTGCAGTCACGTTCCGGGGAGCAAGAGATTACGCCAGGCCATGTTTTCACATTTTGGTTTGAATTTTGCAATGACTTCAAGATCAGATGGAAGAGAGAGAACAAGGTCATATCCAAACTGAGGTGAGAGTTAGCAGCATCTTAAGTATCTAGCATCATATTTTCTGGTTTACAGCTTCTCTAACCAACTACACAATGTGATAACTAAGTTAAGGGTCATTTTGTCAATGACTGTTGAAACTTGCTGGATTTGAAACATTGCGGATAAATAAAATGCAGTCCATCTGAATTTTCACTTCAGAATTAAAGAGGCCCAACAGTCAGTGCGCAACATGACAGCAGAGAAAAAGATTGAGACCAGAAGGGCCAATGCCAATGGACTGGTAAGCACCTGTCTTCATTGGTGGCAGATAGATAGCAAACACTAGCTATTGTTTATTCATGAATGTTTTAAAAATCAGATTCATAAAAGATGTAAGCACAGCTGAATAAGAGTTCAAAATGATTTATGTTTCTGTATGGGTTTTTTATGACAGAAAGAGAGACTGCGTCTGAAAGAAGCAAGTCTGACCACCAGCTGACCCTTTCTCCTGACTGCACGTTACTGGCCAGGATGACAGCCTGTCTGTCAAATTAGTGTATCACATTTATGACCCAAAGATCCCTTCGACTACGGTTTAGATATGAATTAATGCTGTTCAAAGTGAGAAACATTTATGTTAAGATTACAAGTTTACTCAATCTGCTCTGGAGTCTTCACCAGTCTAAACAATTAAGCCTTCAAAAGTGTTATCTGAATTGGAAAAATAAGTAACTTTATTTTGTATATTGAGTAACAAAGTTGTGTAACTTTTTATTGTCGTATTAAATCATTACAGAATATTACAAAACATAAAGGTAATGTACATGTAAAATAATATAATTTTAAACTATCCTTATTGGTTTTATTTTGTACAACATCACATTTTTTATTGATGTCAGTTGTTGATTCATCACATCTCATTACCATTTAATCACAGTAATATTGTTCCTTTTGCGATGAACGCATCATTGTAGAAGAAGGTTGTAACTCTGGCACTTCATTCACTTGACATTACTTGCATGAAGACCAGGATAAAACGCATTGGAATGTTTTTTGTTTGTTTGTTTACTAAATTACTTATTTACACCCACATATATCTACATTACAAAGGTATCTACATTGATCCACACAGTGGAAAATAATAAGCATATTGTTAATATGTCATTCTTTTTTATCTGTAACGATGCAGGAAACAACTCGATAATGCTCCTTCATTATTATGCAATAGGAGTGCGTGGAATATTTACTTTCAGAAAAACATAAATTGCCTACAACAATGACGTCAGCAAGTTTAATCCAAGTCGACAGAAGTACAGCGGCACTGTTTCACGCGGCGCACGCGCTTCTTCCTGGTGCTGGGGATCTGCCCGGGACAGATGAGCGTGTAAGTGACCGTCGTGTAACTCTTTGGCTTGCACACGGAGCACGACTGAAACGCACCGTCCTCTTGATAAACATGTCGAGGTATGTAGAATGAGTTGCACTGTCCGTAACAGAAACGATTGATGATGGTGCGCGGCTGGCACCCGTCCTCGTAAATCATCAGTTTCAGCGGCTGCGTTTTACACCAGTCAAGTTTGAGATAACGGCGCTCCGTTACGTGTAAAGCCTCCTGGCTGGAGTCCAGCACCTCGTCCCCGACTGAAGGCGGTCCCATTCCCCCAGAACTAGCCTGCGGTGTCTGCGGTGACTGTTCCGACTGGTTTGGGCTGTATTTATTTGGGTAAGGAATGGCGCCTTGAAATCCCCCGGTTCCCCTGATCCTCGCCGGATTGCAGAGCAGCCACAAGACCACGATAGTGACAGCTAATGCTTCTTTAGTCATTCTTTCATAAGAAAAAAAGAGATACATTATTATTATTATTATTATATATATATATATATATATATATATAGTGTGTAGGCTATCAATATTATATACTTTTTATAAATCCTTTCACATATAAAATTAATACAGCTACATAACCTCTTTGAAAGCATATATATATATATATATATATATATAACAGTTATAAAAAAAAGTTCTCTACATAATTTTGAGAGCCAACAACTATTTTCCTGTGGCAAATTATTTCTTTAAACACATTTCAGATGTGATTTAAACTAAATATCCAGCACACTTACCTCAGATTAATAATGGTTCAAATTTATTCACATGGACTTCAGCTGTTCACAAAGGTCTTTGTATATCATAACAAACTTACAATTAAAAATAGGTTGAACCAAAAGTTCCAGAGCTCAGACTCAAAATAAGTTATGGAGCTGTGTTCTGAGTGCTGACATTTAAGAGAATGGGGCAGTCCACGCCTCCTCAGCCTAAAATCATTCACAGCACTTTGGGGATGGTCCAATGCTTTTAGAGAGTTCGGTCCCTCACGATGCGGACATATCGGATGCGTATTGTGATATTTGTAAGTTAGATGAATCATGAAGTTAAAAACACATGTCCTTGATTATCTGCACATGAACGTCATTTTTATTTGATTAAGTGGTATTACAACAAAAGTTGTGCCATGAGAATAATTATTCATGTTACAATCACCATTTGCACCCTTGCTCTATTAATAATAAGATTTATTTGAATATGACACATAATATAATTACTTTGCTGTGAAACAGAAAAGTCATTTTTATACAAATTATATGAACATGATGTTCAGGCCTTGATATTGCTTGTAGCAGTTTCAACTTTATCTTCCTCAGGGAAATGTGGCACTGATTTCTTGGCCACCACGTTATCCAGCCTCTGTCCCATCAGATATGGATTTGCACTCTGAAACACAGTCAGTGACAGATCCTGTGACATTTTACTGAAAATACGAGACATATATGTAATTATAAAGTCGTATAATTAATGTGCTGGTCTATTGAGAAGGATGCAGCAAAAAATGCAAAGAAAAATAATGTTTTTTTTTTTTTTTCAGATATATAGCATACCCTTTTTCTTCTCTTTGGTCCACCCTTCAGCTTTTCATACAACAGTCCTTTATTCTGAAAGAAAAAAAAGATAATTAAGTGCAGTCTGTTACAAATCAGTATTTACATATCTGTACATTATACATTCTCTGTACATCAACTTCTACAACACACTCTCATGGCAATACGTAACTATTTAACATTTTGGTGAATTGGTGGCTAAGTCATATGAATTCCTGAATCTCATTTAAAAATATAAAAGGTTAGTTCACCCAGAAATGAAAATTCTGTCATCAATAACTCATCTTTGTGTTGTTCTAGTCTTTCTAACATCAGACCCAAGTCTCCTATCAGCATGAATAAAATTGCGCTGCAGCAAGGCAGCATAGGGAAACTCAGGCTAGTCTCATTCCAAACCCGTAAGACTTTTGTTCATTTTGTTCATCAACACAAATAAAGATATTTTGGAGAAATCTGAGAGCTTTTTGTCCCTCCAGACAGCTACACAACTACCACTTTGACACTTCAAAAAGTTCATAAAGAAATCGGAAAACTAATCCATATGAATTGAGTGGTTTAGTCCAAATTTTCTGAAGAGACTTTTAGCATAGCTATAGCTTTATATGATGAACAGATTTCATTTAAGCTTTTATTCCCATGTATACATTATTAGCGAACACAAACAGAAGCTCAACCGAACATGCTTGACGCACGAGAACAAACCCCATTGGTTTTTGCAGAAGCTCAAACGTGCTGTGTAACACACGAGAATAAACCTCATTGGTTCTCTGATGTTAAGCAAACATGCTTGAGCTTCCGTTTACCATAACTGATGTATGAGTTGATGAATGTCATATGTGAATAAAAACCTAAATTCAATCTGTTCATTATATAAAAAAAATGACAAAAGTGATAAATTCTTATGGATTAGTTTTACGTTCTCTATCTTCATTTGTGTTCAGAAGATGAACGGAAGTCTAATGGGTTTGGAACGACATGAAGGTGAGTAATTAATGACAGGATTTTCATTTTTAGGTGAACTAACCCTTTAAAGTCCTTCTACACTGTTGTTTAGATTATATTGTTATTTTGCAGTAAATTACATAGTCTTTTGTAGTATGTGTTATTTGTTATATGTAGTTAATTTGATTGATTCACCAATAAGGATGAAAGAATCTTACTAAATGTAGTCTTACCTTTCCTGTACTTACGTATCTATGTAAGTACAGGAAAGGTACTTGACAGAATCATCAAATATAATAAGTATAATAAAAGTCTGATAACTGAGAGAAAGTAACTTCACTGCACTTTTCACACAACATTCATTTCATTTAAATGAAAAATCAGAAGTCCGGACTGTTTCAAGGTATCAAGTGTGAACTTACCCACTTGGCCAGCGCAGGGTAGTCATGCTCAGGGTCAAAGAGGTGCTGATGTTTCTGGAATTCCCGACTGAACTCGGCAGTGTCAGGAGCGTTCTCCAAACATCCATCAGCAGCTATAAAGACATGATCACATTTTTTCAACCAGGAGAGATGCATCCCATTCTCAAACCCAGAAGTTTAGATTCGTTTAGGAGGATATAGCAAAAATCAGTTTCAATCTATGAATCAATTTCAATCTAATCAAATATTGAACGTGGATTCCTCTTGGTTTTTATGTGATTGATAATCTAAATGAATGATGACACCACTGTATATTTGTGCACTGCATTTGGATCTGCATACCAGTCTTTCCAAGGGGGCAAGGATTGGGAGGGTCGGGGTAGCCATGGTCCTCACTGAAGTCTTTGGGAACACTATCCCCAGTTAACTCTGCAACAATGTTAGGGATATTCCCATATGGCCCGAGATGCTGGAGTCCCTCATGGGCACCACCTATTGGACAGAGTGTCAAATTACAGATAAAGGTAAATGCGTCATGATAAGGATAATATAGTCCTTATATCCCCATTCACCTGTATAATCATTTGCATCTTTTAAAACCTGCGCTTATACAGAGAAACTCTTACCTTGGATGCTGAGAGGACCCACTATGTTGGTGGCCTGGTGCGCGGGATACTCGACCCTGGGCCGCGCGATTCCCAGCTGCTCCATCACTCCATGAAGCAGGCGCTGGATATCCGCCTCCGACACCTGATCCACCGTGCGTGGACTACGGCCAGAAACCACGGTCATCGAGCATATAACGACACTCAGAAGAACCGCGTGTGTCATTTTCGGAGCCGAACCCATCGTTGTCTTTCACTACACACCGACAATAAACAAATGATGTAACAGTGTAAACTGTGGTGTATGCTAGCTAAAACCTAAGATGTAAACAAAATATAGCTAGTCAGTCTATACATCAATTTTTCATTGTTTTATTTTCATTTTAATGTTGAAATTAGCTTATAAACTTGATGCTCTGATCTATAATTTAGATATTATTATGATCAAAGGAAACGCACATCCCACAAGTAACTAACATAGGCCGTTATTTTATACGCGCACATTAAGAAACATTCGTCGTTCAGCAAAACTAAACATCCAACGTGTTGTAGACTAACGTTATACAGAATAAAGAGTTAGGCAAACATAAAGAGGTAACCTACCATGTAATCTGGATTGAGAAAGAGTGTGTCGGGTTCAACACAGATGCCGTCCTCCTCCTCGCTTCATTTGCTCTGTTGCCAAGCAGCAGAATCATCATCACACCTATTGGCTTACGGAGTTCCTAGAACATAAAATATGCTGCTGTATTTTATAGGAAACGGTAGACCTATGAGCGGGGAAAAAGCTCTGATCTAGGCTATATAATGACTCTGGAAAAAAAACTCATATTTTCCATATTATTATTTTTTTTAATATAATAGGCTAAGTAAATCACTTGGCTAACATGTCGTGTCACTTATTCCTTTAATGTTATGGACCTGTCAGTTTACAATGCAAATACTACAATGCAAAGAATAATAGCCTCACAGCAATGGTTTAATTATTCAATGATTTCCTTGGTAGTCTATTCTCTCGAACAGGCATGAATTCGGCTGTACTACTGCCTATTATGGAATATAGCCTTATATAATTCGATTTTGATAGGGAGTTGCATGAGGATATAACTTATTTTGTTGTTGCCCAATCTCCCCTCGTACAAGTCAGCAGACTGTGGTTAGCGTTGTCTGATTATTCTTTTAATGATGGGCCATACGTTTACAGTAGAAGACAGAACTGGACAGGCAACTCTACGGTGTGTCTAGAAAACACTCGCATGTGCACAATGAGGCTTTTGGCATTGTTGCATTTCTTGATTTCTCTGGATCCCCTGAATCTTTTCATACACTAAACAATGCTGGGTTGTTATAACCCAAATTCGGGTCAAATATGGACAAATCCAAATGTTGGGTTAAAAATGTAATTTAAAATATTAACCCAACTTCAACTTTCACTTTCAACTGTAATTTTTTAACCAACCTTTGGGTTTGTCTATATTTGACCCACATTTGGGTTGAAACAACACCCAATTTTTTTTTTTTGAGAGAGAGAGAGAGAGAGAGAGAGTAGCCTATGTATGGTGTAATACCTAAATATCTTGCAATCTTGCATTTGCAATTGTTTGACAATTCTTAAATGTAATTATGAGTCATTACCTATATTTGCTTGCAAAGACAATATTTTTGCTTTTGGACATTTTGCACCTTTTTGCACTTGGACTTGGTTGAAAAATTGTGTGTGTAAATTTTTGAGGATTTATAGAATCCTTTTAAACAAAAAAATAGCCTACCAAATTTACAGATATTAAAAAATTTGGGAACTTTTGTTGAGTAAACTAATAGCTGCATTTTCTTCTTTAAATAATCAAAGAAAAAACACAAAGAGTACATTTACACTTCACAACTTTTATTACAACAGTAAATGTATATACAGCACAAGACACAGTAACAAATGCATACGGAGGGTTAGATGGATTGACATGAGGAGGATCGGAGTTTTAGAAGCACTTTCTGTGAACGATGGAGGGACCTGCCTCATCATATTCCTGCTTGCTGATCCACATCTGCTGGAAGGTGGAGAGGGAAGCCAGGATGGAACCACCAATCCAGACGGAGTACTTACGTTCAGGGGGAGCAATGATCTAAAGGACGAACACAAGAACTTGAATGTAAAACTGGAACTATAAAGCAAACAAGAGCTCATTTAGAAAAGCTTACCTTGATCTTCATTGTGCTAGGGGCCAGAGCGGTGATCTCCTTCTGCATACGGTCAGCAATACCAGGGTACATGGTGGTACCACCAGACAGGACATTGTTGGCATACAGATCCTTG